CATTCTTTAAAAAGAATAATTCCTGAGCTGACTCCCGCTAGAGATAGCTGCAGGAGGAAGCAGCCATGGTGAGAGGGCATTACATGGCAGCGTTTGCTATGGGGAAAAATTCAGGCCTGGCGGGGATCTGGCCAAAGCCTAGGTACCACGTAAGTCCCACTTACACCCCTTGGCATAAGTGGGACTTAAGTTGTGCCCAGGCCTCATGCTGAGCCTCTACCCAGAGACAAAGGTCACTCTTGCAGGACAAAGGAGTCCAGAAGTGCCAGCTCACTGACTTGGTTTGAATGTGATTGAGTCGGTTTCTAAGGGGCCCCCTGCACCGTGCACAGCAGGTGAAAACCTGGCCCTAATGCAGAGTCTTCCTCCATCTCTGCCTTTCGCCTTCTCTCTAGCCCTCATTTCCCTCTTGATTGCAGGGATTGCTCCTGGGACTCTTTTAGAGCATTTGACTTGCGCTGCTAAAGATGGAGAAATGCTGAGCAGCTGAGCAGAGAGAAAGGCCTTTGGAGACATTTTAGCCAAATCCTCATTCATTCTATAAATAACGAGGAGTGAGCGTTTCCTTTCCAGCTGCTGTTGATTGTCTTGATTCTTTTCCAGGTTTTATTGCTGCATCCACATAGTAAGAAATGGAACCACCTATGCTTGACTCATTTTGCTGTATGGAAACCACAGCCACAGCCTGTGAACCAGAGCACGATTGCTTGAGCGCCATGTAATAAATTGGCACCTTGTGAATGATTTGGAATGCATCATTTATGCAACAAATTTTACCCTTTTTTTTTTTTGCTTCCCTTCCATTTATGACTCAATGGGAAAGCGTGAGATTCCGACCCGTGTCCGTTGTTCGTAAATTCATCTGTGGATCAGGAAGAATGCTTCAGAAAGTCACCTGGTATCTTCTCTGGCCTGTGATTGGACAGCTTGTGTCACTGACCTATACTTCCCGCATTGACAGATCTCCAGCTAATTGTTCAATGAATTGTGCACCAGTGCAGAATGTTACCACCTTGTATTGGGAGCCTTGTACACCCTCCTTTGCCCTAGGGCAGTAATTTTCCACCTTCTTTCATTTGCGGCAGACCCCCTAAAACATTTCGAATGGAGGGGCAGACCCCTTTGGAAAGCTTAGACATAGTCTGCAGACCCCCAGGGGTCCACAGACCACAGGGTGAAAACCACTGCCCTAGGGTAAGGGACTGCACAAGAGACAGATTAATGGTGGACTGAGCCCCTCATTGGGAATTCATTCGGCTACTATTCCACCCTAATGTTCCTTTTCACGGGGATCCGTGCTAGTAAAGCCAAAGAGCTCAGACCTTCGTGAAAGGCAAACACCAAAAGGGCATAGCTCAAAATTTGCTTTGGAATCTGAGTAAGAATTTTTTTTCACTATTTCCTCAGCTCTAATTATTCCTGGACATTTCTCTGGAGCCCATCACTCTAATATCTAGCCTGGACGTGAGGAGCTAGGCAGGGGGTATTGGTGATCTTCAGATTCAGTCACTATTGGTGTGAGCGAGGGGAAAGTTAGGAATCTGTCAGTAGGATCAATGCTCTATTATATTTTGGTGCATGATACCAAGCAAGGGGTGGTGGAGTAATTGACTATTTACATAGCACCATAAGTGTGCATGGAGCCTTAAAGGGACAGTGTCCTTGCTCGACTACTACTAAAAGGTCTTTTTTTCCCGATAGGACCTTCCACGTTTACACATATTAAAACATTCCCATGGGAGAGGTAAATATTTGTATCCTCCTTGTTTTTCAGATTGGAGAAACTGAGGCAGAGAGCGAGCGAGGAAGTGACTTGCCCTCAGGGTCACATGGCAAGCCAGGGGCAGAGCTGAAAATAGAATCCAGCAGTCCTGGCTCCCACGCCCCTGCTCTAACTGCTAGACCGTGCTGCTGCCCTGCTCACTCACTGAAAAGCCGACTGCATCCTAGATGCAATGCACTAAATTCAGCTGCAGTGACGTTTCCCTTTGGCACCCTGGTGCAGCCCAAGGTAACGTCACACAACGTTACAAGAGAGGCAGCCGACAAGCAGGGCCGGGGTGGGGGTGCGCAGGGGAGCGGGACACGACTGCTCTGACATGGTGGAACTGGACCTTGAGCAGCCTCCGAGCGGGGCTCGACGGGGAAAAGGTCACATAGCTCCAGTCTCTCTAGTGCTTGCGTAAGGCCCAAGTGGTGCTCACATCCCACTGCTGCTGTTCCTCACTGAGAAATGACACCAGGCTAATAGCCAGGCACTAATCGCCATTTTGCCTCCGCCACGAGCACAGCTGCAGCGGCTGATGGCAGCGCCCGTGCTGACCCCACCCTACCCTGCGGTCTCTGTGCCGTCTCCCTGACGCCTCGCACCGGCCCTCTCATTGTTTTTTAATTTTATCCTGCAAAAAGCATTTTAAATCCAACTGAGCGGCTGGTGAGAGGGGCCAGACTGGCATCCTTCAGGGCCGGGGTCCCTCGGCAAGCTGGCACAGCGTGGGGGACTGGAGGGCAGGTCTCCCCTAAGCTGCACCATGCTGGTAATTGGCTTCACCTCCATGGGGCGAGAAGTGAGTTCAGTCTGTGGGTCGTGTGGTCCCTGGCCTCAGTGCTGACCCAGGGTTCTCTCACTTTTCTCAGAGAAAAATGTCATCCTGGCAGCTGAGCTCTGACAACTCGTCACATCTGCCACAGCAGTGAAATGCAGCTCAACGGAGAGACTGGTGCAGACTGGCACCAAGAACTTCTGGGCTCTATTCCTGGCACTGCCACTGACTCCCTGTGTGGTCTCAGGCGTGTCACTGCCTCATTCTGTGCCTCAGTTTCCCAATCTGTACAATGGGGATGATGCGCGCCACCTATTTCCCAGGGAGAGCTTTTGAGGAGTCTGGAAAGCACGTTGAGCTCCCCCGGTGGAAGGCACTAGAGAAAGGAACAGGATTGTTGTGTAGTCATGGATTCTCCACGCTGGGTGTCATCTGGATTTTTGCAGTCAGGGCTGGAACCAAACGCAGCAACCAAGAAACAAAGGAAATACCAGCCTCGGAAGGTCCGGAACGGCATTTGCTTCCCTGGAGAAGGCCCTGTGTTTGTGCCTGCCTGTCCCCAGAGTGCAGAAGGTGCAGGAGTCTGTGGTCCTGTTGCATATATTGCAGTGACTCCCGCATCGGAAGGGGGTGTGGGCCATTGGACACAGGGCTACCCCCTAGCGCAGAGGTGCGCTCCAGCGACAGAAGGGGTTTTCCATTGCGGCAGGATCTCCATCTCCCCAGGCGGCGCTAGTGAATTCAACAGAAACATCCGTCCACTGACCCAGCCACATCTACACCGGGGCGAGGTCAGCGCCGCTCCAGCACTCAGGGGGATGCCATTTTTCACACCCCTGAGCGATGTTTTAACTGTAGATCAGGCCACAGAGAGGGGCTAGCCCCGCGGAGGGGAGATGGGCAGTACGTCCGCTTCCCCTGTGGCTGGCTCTTATGAGAACTGGCTGCCCAGCCCCGGCGCTTAGAGCCCTGGTGCCTGGAGTTTGGCTCCATCTGAGCCAGAAGGCAGATCTTGGCCCTGAGAAGACGCTGCAGTTCTGATGCTAGGGGTACGGCTCTATAGGGCGTGCAATGAAACATCCCCCCACCCCAAGGCCGGGGACTCTGATGCACTGAAGGGTCAATCTGTTGGCGGTGGAGGTCTGCAATAATGAATGCCGAGGTGAGACCACCTGCAGAGGAGGGGGTCTCCTCCCTCCAGAGCACCTGGCCATGCCAAGGAAAGCTGCCTCCTGCCACTAAAGGGTTAGCAGCCCAGCTCCTGGCCTGAGGTCCGCAGGGATGGGATGGGAGCCTTCGGCAAAGCATGAGGAATCCACGCCTGGAAACACCCTCCTGTGGCGAGCTCTTCCCAAGGGAGAAGGTCAAGGGAAGAAGTGGCGCTGGATTCCTGGGCACACTTGGAATGGACTGGGGGGGGAGGGCAGAATGTCGGAGGCAACTGCCCCCGTCACAGTGAAATGCAGAGGTTCCAAGTGAAATGGCTCCAGCCTGCTTTCAAGGTTCACGGCCCCTTTGCTACAAACTGGATCCCCACCCCCGCCTCCCCCGCCTCCTCCCACCCCACCAGCTGCAGCTAATCTTAAATTCTTGGCAGGCGCAAGGCTCGGAAGTAGGAGGCAGCTCCCCGTGCAGGATTGGGGCTATTGGTTTCTAGGAAGGAAGACTCACAGTTTGTCCCTATGAGCAGCATAGCAATTAGAGAGGGAAAACAAGAGCAGATTAATGAGCAGTCCCGGTGCAGAGGAGAAGGGGCAGACAGGAGAGGAGAGGAGAGCGGAGAGCGCACACCGTTCGGGTCCCTTCCGACTGCTCCGCAGGCTCGGGTGCAGCTGAAGGGGCATGTGTCAGTCACACGGCGCTCGCTCCCTTAAATGCCAGAGCTCGGGACGCGCTCCCTGTTTGATGGGATCCGCCCAAGCTAAAGAGGAGGCAAAGGGCCAGATGCCCAGCTGGTATCCATCGGCCCAGCTCTGCTGGAATCAATGGGATCAGAGCCCAGCGGGTGTACATCAACCTGGCCTTGGCCTCTAGGATCCCAGCTCCGTTGATTTCACTGGCTGAGGCTGTGGCCCACGGGTATACCTGAGATGACCGAGGCGGGTTATTGTGGTTCCTCCTTGAGCGGAATAGCGTGGGGCTGTCAGCCTCCAATGACCAGACCGTGCCCAGCGGCCTACCAGTCAGTGGGGCTTTCGTTCAGGCAGGAGGTTGCTTTCCCATCCAGAGGCTGTGGGTTCACTCCCTGCTGGTGACCCTTGTTACATACGGCTGAAGCCGGCAGCAGCCAACCAAAGGGCCCTTTCCCTCTCCTGGTGGGGGGATCACATATGCAGGGGTCCCTAGCTCTGGTCTATTTAAGGGAGCCCGGCGTGTCTCCAGCTGCACGGGAGGCATGCATCTCAGTGGCCCTTGTGCAGAGCCCGCCCCACCCTCCGCCCGAGGAGGAGCCCTTACCTCTCGCACACGCGGACCGTCCAGGCGGCAATGATCCAGGAGGAGATGCTGAAGACCAGCAGCACGGTGCCGGGGCAGATGGTCATGAGGGTCTTCATGATGAAGCGGGTGTTGAAGTTGATCTTGTTGAGGGCGCCGATGCTGCGGGAGGAGGCGTCGGTGAAGAGCTTGCTATGGAGCAGCATGACGCGCCCGATCAGGTAGAGCCGCAGGAACATGGGGATGGAGAGGATGATGTCCACATCGGCGTCGGCCACCGAGGTGGTGTAAGTGAAGGCCAGCCGGGCTGTCCAGGTGAAGAGATACTGGCCCGGAATGGGGTGGATGGCGCACACAATCAGCTCCAGGCTGATGAAAAAGATCCGCTTGTAGGTCATGGCTATTCTCCAGTCGTCTGCCCCGTTGTCCACCATGAAGAGCTGGGCAGGGAGAGGGGAGGGGGGTTAGAGGTAGGGGGTTGCTTTAGGGTGGGTCGAAAGGCCCAGCAGCGGCTAACAAGGAGCAGGCAGGCGGTGTGGTGTAGCGCCGGTGGGCTCTATGCCCAGCCCTGTTGGCTGACCTTGGCCAAGCCCCTTCCCCGCTCACACTGTAGGCTCTGCAGCGGCTGGCACAAGGGGCCCGGGGCTCAGGTGGGGTTCCCCAGGCTCCAATACAAGCAGTGGCAAGAGGCTCTAGCCAAGGAGTAAGTTGTTAGCCCCAGCTGAGTTCAGCGTCTGCCCAGGAACAATTCCTGCCCTGCAGAGCTAACGCCCGAAATAGAGCAGGCAGCTGAAGGAAGGTTTGTTATCCCCCGTTTACAGGGGAGCCAGGAAGCAAGGCCTAGGAACTGACGCACTTGGGCAGGCAACAAGTCACTGTAGAGGTGGGAATTGAACTCACCCCGCTCGGTGCCACCCCCTGCCCACGAGAGCAGGCTTCCAGTCCTTTAGTGACACCCGCCTGGACTGGGAATATAACAAGGACCTTCCTGTTTGCCCCTCAAGCCCCTAGGGCCAGATGTGCAGGGCAGAAGGGGAGAGACGGGTAGCCGAACGAACCCTGCTCTAAATGCAATAGATTTATAGAGGGTTCGTATTGCCCATTGAGCAATGCATATTTTTCTTCTGCTTGTCATCGGCGGCAGGTCACATGTGGCTCAAGGCAATAATTGCAGCCAATAATAAAGTTTTAATGGGAAATCTCTGAGCAATTTAGCCCTGCATTATTCTTCTGGGACTCTGCCAGGCTTCTCCAGAGCCCACTCGGCCCTGGAACCGGGTGGGAGGGCTCTCAGGCAGAAGCCCTGCCCAAAGATGGATTCCCCATGTGCCACCTGCAACAGCCGGAGCTGTTCGGCTGAGTAATGACTGTACGCATCATCCAGCCCAAAGCCACTGCTCGCACATCTGCTTCTGCATCAGCTTTGCTGGCAGGCGCTCGTCCCAGGGCCTGCTGTGGAGATTTTCCAACTTCCTCCGCACTCACACAGGTTGCACAGAGCTTGCTGGCTTTGTCTGTCAAGTCGGGGGGGGCGGCCCCTACGCATGCCCCTCTCTCTGCTTCTCCATCCATCGCTCTCACTTGCTCCTGACAGTAACCATGTCTCAGCGCGACTACAGATAAACAACCTCCCAAAGGGACTCGGGGCATGCCTACCCTGCAGCTGGAGCAGCCAGACCTGCACTAGCTCTGAACAACCTCAGGCACTAAAAACAGCCACGTGGCCACTACAATGAAACAGGCAGGCCGCCCCAAGTACATTCCTAGCGTCTCGGGCGGGATCGCACTCAGGGCAGCGAGCCCCTCCCACCGCTCAAGCCACCACGGCTACACTGCTCTTTTCGCGCACAAGCTCACTCAGAGCTAGCACTGGTATGTCCGCCTGAGCTGGAGTTTACACCTGCCAGCTCAAACGTGGACGTACCCTCGGGCCTGATTCTCCATTGCTTTGCCCCTGCTGACGTCATCTGGGGCCAGATTTGGGAGCAGGGAACAGGGGAACTGTGAGAAGGTGCCGCACTCGACTGATTTAACCTGTGTCCTTGCTGCAAAGGAGGTGGGTTACCAGAGGGCAGCAGCCGGGCTGTAGCCTGTACCCCCAGCCCAGCCAACTAGTCCAGGGTTAAAGTACCATGGAACTCAGGTGAGAGGTTTGGGTGTAAGTTAGAGGCAGCTCCGGAGTCAGAGCCTGGTTAACTCTGCAGGGAAACAGACACAGGAATTTACAATATCCCCCTAAAAGGGTAGGCACCTCACTCCCTTACATGCCTCTGGAAATCCCCCAAAGCTCCTGTCTGCATCTTTAGCTGCTCATATATCTGTGTAAATCTGGCCCTTACCGCTGTGTAAAATGCTACCAGATCAGAGGGGTTGTGGTTTGATCTCTGGACAAGCGTAAATGACTGTACAGGCCCCAGTGGAACCCCATTTATCTGATCTAATTGGGATCGGGGCCGGATCAGATTTTCAAAAATTCTGCTAATCAGGAGGGCTCGGCGAAACTAAGTTACGTGCTTCAGCCCCAGGCGGCAGGGCTCTGGCTGTCAGTGCTCCGCACATCTTGCTGGTGTGCAGTCAACAAGCTAAGATATTCAGTGTTGCCAGTTTTCAGGGTTTGAGCATGAGTTTCGCAATATCTGGTGTCCCGGCTTCCGGAATTTGGTGATTTTGTCAGAATCTTGCCGGTTATATTTTTTAAAGAAAGCAAGTCAATTTCTAGCCCTCGTGATTGCAAAGAAAACCTTGAAAATGTGACTAGAGCAAAACCCCAAAGGCTGAAAACCCCAAAGGCAAACGAGCGGCAAGCCCACAGCATTGTTATTTTAAGCCAATCTCAATATTTTGGGGAGCTGGACTCATGAGGTTTGAACATTCGGGGTTGGCCAGCCCGCAGATTTCAAGTGCTACTTAGTCTTCTTGCCAAGGTTTAGGATTTTCCAGCCACATTTTCCTAGGTTGATCGGTATTTCCCTGTGTTGCCGTGCGAAAAGTCCCCGCAAAGTGAAATTAAATACACAGCAGGTGAGGAAATAGCAGCTGTACAAATCCACAGAGCTGCGTCCCAGATGGCAGGACTCATCTGAGACCGGCCTCTCTCTTCCTGCTGTGCAGAATGGGAGAGCTCGCTTTCCTTCAATTAAGGCATTAAAATCCAGCTCCCTAAGCTCTTAAAGCATTACTATCGACTTTCTCCTGGCGAAGCTGCGGCTGCAGGGTGAATGCTGTGACTTCTCCTAACAGCTGCTTGGGGACACAGAGCTCAGCCATTGTAGAATGGATGGTGCTTTGCCTTAAGGGGACATGATCAAAGTCACATAGGGTGTAGCTGAGATGGTGGGCATTAACAGTAGGAGAAGAGTTTACGGCCCAAAGGGGCTAGATTGCAAACCAGAGGCAGCGCAGATAGGAGAGAGGTTGCTGTGGTGACCTTCAAATGGACCAGGTGCCAGGGTCAGAAAGTCCCTGGATAAAAAAAAACAACTGATTTTTGCTGTATCTGCTCCTTCCACTCATCTCTCTGTGGCACCAGGTGCCATCTCTGAACACTGGAGACTTTTGTTTTCCTCTCAAAACCCAGCTAGAAAATCCTGTTATCAAGTACAATTCAAGCTCCAATTCTGCAACCTGTTCTGCGTGGATGGAACCCGCTGGGTCTACGCAGAGCTCTGCTGGGGCTGGTTCTCCATGGCTCTGCACCTTGTGTGGTCACCTACCCCAGGGCAGCATGTAAATCGCTGACATGCGAGGGCATGGGGTGGGATTGCAGCTTGTGTAGATGGACCTGAGCTCCTGTCCATCTAGCTGGCGCGTGTACCGGAGCAGCCAAAAGGGGTCCCCAGTTTGAAAGGGCCCCCAAACGACCTGGTGCATGGGATCGTAGTGCCATTCAGGCTTGGCCTGGCAGTCCCCCCATCATGGCAGAGGGAGGGCTGGGCCAGACCTGAGTGGCGCTGTGACCCTGGGTAGGAGCTCCCAATGTCTGGGGCGGAGATCTGGGCTCAGCCCCGCAGGATATAAGCCTAGCCACTGCTGTGGGGTACGTGCAGTGGGAGCTTGTTCTCGGATTCCCCCTCCCCCGACACTCTGCAGGAATTTTTTTGGAAGGGTGAGGGTTCTAGATTTCAGATTTTGCCCCGGGCGCCCTAAAAATCACAGAAGAAATGCACCAGTGCTAAAGCCTTCAAACATCATGAATCAGATTGCAAAGAATCATGAGATTTTTTAAAAAAATAATGCATTTTGGGTTGTTCTCTTTTTACAAAAGCTGAGCTTCTCAGGTAATCACCTGACTCCAGCACCTGGTACTTTAAGGAAAAACACCACATATTGCAAGACTCAATAAAAATCACCAGAGCTGGCAACACTGTCAGTATCTGCAACCCACACACCAGGGTTTCCTGCTAGAACGGGAAACTGATGAGATCTTTTCCTTGTCCCAGACTAGTGAAATGCAACAAGTAAATAAAGAACAAAAGGTGACAGGCATATACAGCTTATAATTTAATAGTAACAAGCAAACACAGCTTGTTTTAACGTTAATAACTTACCGGCTAATTTGTCATACAGGGAAGGACATTTTTTAAGATGTGATGTTGCACCTTTATAATGAATGTTGTCATGCCAACCTCAAGCAGGAAGCCGCCTCCTCGGTGTATGTGCAGGAGGGGGTGGCAGGTGCTAAACATGTTAGTGGAGTCCCTCTTAAGCCTTCAGAACAGATCTTAAGAGGGACATGGGTCTCCTGTACTGGGGAGGATTTCACCTGTTGATCAGCACTGTCTCAGAGGAACGGTGCCACCTAGTGACTCGCCAGCACGGCTTCCTGCAGCACCTACTTGTTCCTTGGAGGTCTCCCAACTACTAGGATCTACTACGGAGCTGAGCTGGGTCAGGTTAGGTCTGTGGGCACCAGATTCTTTTAAAAGAGCTCAAGGCCGGATTTCCAGCCCATTGGGTGCTGGGTACTTGGGAAAACTTGCCGGCAAATGTCACAATGGGAACCTGCTGACCCCACTTGAAAATCTGACCCTTATGCAGGGGCCTAAATGGGAGCCGAGTTCTTGTGAAAATCTGAGCCCAGCGGAAGGTGCTGAGCCCTTGGAAATGTGGCCCGCAGCTCTTCTGAAAAATTCTGGCCCGTTCTGCTCCTGCTCCTCTTAGATCTGACACAGTTGCAGGGCTCAGAGACAGCCTCAAACCACCCCCTCTCCAAACCCCTTTGAACTTTGCAGGGCAGGAAACGGTTGAAAACTTGGGATCTAGGTCTGAATTTTGCAGCTCTGAGCCATCTCTAGGAAAGCTACAACATGCCCACCCAGCTGGGACAGCTAATCAATCACCCCTGTATTGCAGTGGTTCTCAACCGGGGGTACGCATACTCCTGGGGTACGCATACTCCTGGGGGTACACAGCGGTCTTCCAGAGGGCACTCAACTCATCTAGATCAGCATTTCTCAATGTGGGGGATGCAACTCCCAGGGGGGTCATGGGATGGGTTTAGGGGGGGTCACAAGTGCAGGCCCAGTGTTAGGGGGTAGCAAGCAGGGCAGGTGCCCGGGGCCTCATGCCACAGGGCACTCTGCGAAGCTAGATTACAAGCTTCAGCCTTGCCGCCCGGGGCTCTGGCTTCAGAGAAGGCTCAAAAGTGAAAAACAGGCTCAAGTATGACACTGAAATGTAAGTACAATATTTACATTCCAGGTGATTTATAACGATTGGGAAAAATGAGAAAGTGAAGTGTGCTGTGACACTTGTGTATTTTCACGTCTGATTTGATAAGCAAGTAATTTTTAAGTGAGGTGAAACTTGGGGATATGCAAGACAAATCAGACTCCTGAAAGGGGGACAGTCATCTGGAAAGGTTGAGAACCACAGTTTGGACAAACTCAGGTTCCCACGGAGGACCACCGGCTTCGTGTCTCAGGAAGGGGGAGGGTTTGGTTTGAGCACATGCAATGGGATTCCCAGAGGAACGTTCCTGTCTGATTTCACACTCCCATCAGCTGTGCCTGGTGATGGCACAAACTCCACCCCCTCCCCATGAAATAGGGGAGGGGCCATGCGTTGCGGTGCGTGGCTCACCTGGATTTCTCTGGCATGGTACATGATGATGAGGCCCAGAAGTATCATGGTTGAAAGGCTGATAAGGCATTTCAGTGCAAATGAATATGAAGACTCCTAAAAGGGAGACAGAGAGGAGCAGCATCAGGCACGGTTTCCCCCTCGGTCCTGAGGCTAGTCACACCGCGGCCCGTGGCAGGGAGGCTCTGGACTCTGCCCGTTCAATAGGCACACGCGGATCTTTATGGAAAGGCGCGTACCAAGCTGTTGGGAGGGACTCACCGTCTTTGCATGGGCCAATGACGGTGGGGCGCCACCGGGCATGCAGCAGGGATCCCGACTCCAGGAGAGAGCCTATCCCTTGGGCAGGCCATCAGCCACTCGCACTGAACTCCAGGCTGGGTTGCTGGCCTCTGGGGGCAAATCTCCGCAGCAGCTGAGAGGTGGAATCCCCAGGGCCGCGGACGCACCCGGGGTAGCCCTGATCAAGCTTGCAGGCTACAAATAGCAGCGTGGCCATGGTCTGGTGCGCGCAGCAGCTCAGGCTGGCTGCCCAGCTACGTACCTAGGACCTTGGAGGGGGTTGTCCTTGGGCGACGAGTTCATGCCGCCATGGCCACGTTGCTATTCTTAGCGCACGAGCTCCACCAGAGCTGGTGAGCGTATGTCTACCCGAGCTGGGGTTCACGTCTCCCAGCTGCTGCCTGGACGTACCCCCTGGCACCAGAGGTTGGCTGGGAAGCCTGAGGCAGGGGTTAATACTAACCCTGTGCCCCTCCCTACTGATGGTCAGCAATGATCCGCTAAGCCTTCCAGCTCCAGCATTAGGATCCACATTTATTTCACAGACAGGGAAACTGAGGTACAGAGCTGCTGAGACACGCCCAATGTCACCCAGGAGGTCAGGGGCGGAGCCAGGAATGGAACCCAGCTCTCCAGAATCCAACCCTGAGCGTTAGCCCTTGAACAGGCTTCCTTTCTGGAGATCCCAGAGGCAGCCTCCAGTGTGGCTGAGGGGGGCAGACGCCACGTGATCAGTTCAATCCAGGGATGCATTTGCTACATGGACGTTAGCAGCCCGGGGACCTGTTCTGATCCCCAGGGCCTTGCACAGAGGTCTGCTGGCTATCCAGTGACAGATGTGCATGCCAGCTTCTGTAGCAGCAAGATCTGGGGCTCTGTAGTCACAGGGAAACTCTCCCCACGTGCCCAATGTGCAGTCAACAAGGGGCGCGCGGGACAGGTGAGCTGCATGGCAGCGTGCAGGGGACAGGCGGGTGTTTGCATGAACGATTCTATCTGGTCCCACACCCCTGCCGTTCGGGGGATGATTCATCAGCCCTGGAGAGAAGCCAGCTGAGCAAGAATGATAAAGCATCTCGCTGAGCCAGGACTGTTCACACTGTCAGCACAAAGCGCCCATCAGCATCAAACGTCGCAGCAAAGAGCAGGGTCCATTAATCCTCAGTGCAGCTTGTGGGAGGAGAGCCATCGCCGGGCCGGTGCAAACACAGACACACAGGAATGGGGAGGGGCGCACACACGATGCACACAGAGAACAGGTACACACGCACATAGATGGGTCCATGCACGTATCCCTACATCGGTGCACACACACACACACAGACTCTGGGACGCATCCTCCTTTCCCCAGACGAGACGCACCCACCCCACACCCCGGCACGCCCATGTGTGCGCACCCCCACAGCCAGCCGACGTTCAAACCCGCTGGCAGGCCCGCTCTCTCTGTCACCCTCACACACTTTCCTTATCCCTTACGCGTGTTACGGTGGCACTCGGATGCCTGGCGTGCCAGGCGCTGTACAAACACAGCTGTCTTGCACTCACAGGGCCTCCAGCCCCCTGCTGGGCCCACCTTGGGCAGAGGCCCCGCCCGTGTGAGACCTAGGTACCAGATAAAAGTTCCATTTATGCTCCAGGGCTGGGACTTCCCGGACCCTTTCCTTCCCAAGGGCGACATACAGGCCTGGTTCCCACAGGGCGTGAAGGGGACTTATGCGGTACCCAGAGCTCGCGCCAGCCTCTTCTCTGAGCCAGGCACGTCTGTCCCCCGAGTCCCCGGCCTTTCGGCTTCACGACCGGCCGCGGTCCCTACCTTGGTGTAGACTCCCCAGGAGAGCTCCGTCTCCGTCACCATGACCACGATGCCGAACATCCCGAAGATCAAGGCGTAGTCGCTCAGGCGTTTGCGCTTCTCGAAGAGGGCCCGCCGGTGGCCCAGCCGGTACCCAATGTTCTGGTTCTTCTTCTGGTTCCGGGAGCGCGCCGCCGACTCCTCGTCCGCCTGCAAGCTTGTATCCTTGGCCTGCTCGGTTTTGGAGACCACCACCTCCAGGCCCGAGCTGTGGAGGGTCTGCAGGGGCTGGGTCTCGGCCGCCAGTTCATGGAGGTTGCGCTGGGAGGCGCTTAGGCTGCTCAGGGGTCGGACCACGCCTCCATTGTACTTGCAGCTGTTCATGGCTATCTCGGTGAAGGGGTTGGGCTCGCTGAACACTGTCTTGGATCCAGCATGGTTCAGAACCTGGGAGTCCGCATTTACCTGGAAGGAGACGGAGAAGGGGCTAGAGAGACGCAAACCCGGGGGCAGAGAGACAAGTGGGGGAAGGGGAGAGCTCGTTCCCTTCTCAGTCCGAGTCCCCCGGGGCCTGCAGCCTCCATTCTACAAAGCAGGATTTGAGCTAACTATTAGTCTGTATCCCTAAATGGCCCCTCAAGTGTTACTTATCTAGCATCACAGACGCGCCACATGGACAGAGAAGGGAGTGCAGGCCCTGGACTGTTCTCAAACCTCGGACCATGACTGCTAAGAGCAAGCATCGGGAGGTGGCCCATGGTGCCCACCTACACAGTAGTGTGTGGCTCTAAACTGCAACCCTGGGCCGCTCTTGAACCCCGTTCCCTGGCAGCTGCGAGAAGGCAGGCCATGGCGCCCACCCATAAGGCAGGGAGACCCCTGACATTACCAAGATGCAGAGCTGTGGATGGCAACCAAGCGTGAGGATAAAGGCTCCATTAGCAAATGGATGGGGAGGCCCAGAGGCAGGGACCATGCTGGATGAGAGGGCTGCAAGGGCCTACCCAGAAGTGAGGAGCTTGTCTGCTCGGCCCTGCCCAACCTTGGAACCATTGCAGGGTGAAATTCACCCCCAGGGCAGTAGACCAGGAGGAGAGGACAAGGCAGGCATGGGGAGGGGCGTAATGCAGCTCAGATGCTGTGGTGATGGGCACTCTATAAAAAGTAGGTAGAGAAGAAAGAAAGAAAGAAAGAAAGAAAGAAAGAAAGAAAGAAAGAAAGAAAGAAAAATTCAGCAGCCTCTTGGGATACAGGTACATGTGCAAGGGGGCATGGTTACCTGATCTACTCACTAGACAACACTCCCTTCCCAGAGCTGGGAATTGAACCCAGGAGTCCTGACTGCCAGTCCCTGCTCTCACCTCTGAACACGCCCAGAGATGCCCACAAAAAAAATCAACAAACAAACAACTCAGCTGGTTAAAATACTTTGATCCCAAAGGTTCCCAAAAGGATTTTGTAAACTTCAGCTCTGCACAGGGATCCCTTCGACCACTGTGGAAATGCGGCCACCTCTGTGGCGAAGTGCACGAACCGCATAACAAGTCACAGCAACAGGGTAATGCAGGAAGTGCAGAATTCCGTGTACAGCTGAAACCACCTCTGGGTGGGGGGTTGGACAGAAGCAGGTTATATCACCCTCCCAGTCAGTAACCGGGCCGGGCCGGGGATGCTAATGATCCAACCAGCAGACCAAATTTGGTCATGAACCCTGGCCACGTGCCACCCAAGGCATGCTGTGCTAAGACGACTGTGGGACTTGAATGATCAGTTTCAAATCTCATCTAACAGCCAGCGCCCACTCGTAGAGCCCTAGGCAGATATGAAATCTGTATCCGCATCCAATTTGCGATCCACAAACATGGTCCGTGGATATAAAGCAGATATCTGCAGATCCACAAGAGCTGAGGCACTCGCTCAGAACAAAGCGCGCCCCCTAATAACTGGCCGAGGCGTCAGGATCATGAACAGCTGTCAGGGGTGGAATTGAAAATTACTGACCGACACAGCATCCCAAATGTAAGTAGCTCTCGCTGGTCTCCCAGCATAGCAATGAGCACGGGCAGAATCACAGCATGAAGAACAGTGGCTGGACACCTGCCAGGCTACCCTCCCTCACACCCCTTCCTCGGCCCACCACTGCTTTGGCGTCCAGGGACCCAGCATTTCAGAGGCTGCTGCCAAGCGGGAAGGGAACAGCTGCAGCCGCAAGAGCGGGGTGGACAGGTCTGTCTGGGCCTCCCTAATGAGGCTTTGATTTTTCCTGAGCTGTGTGGAGCCATCGCGCTGGCTGGCGAACAGGTCTTTCCCCAGAGCTGATTAATGGCCTGCAGCTGGCGCGGGGCACGGGCTGGGGAGTGAATCTTCCGTCTGTTAGCCAAGTGTCTGCACGTCAACAGAGTGCCCCCAGCAGATCTGGAATAACACCTCACCTCCCACTCTGGAGCCAGTGCAGCGAGGCCGATAGGCGAAGCCCCCGTGTGCTCCAGCTTTGAGGCAGGGTCACCAGTGAAGTGAGTTTGTTCGGGCTTAGTATAGTTGGCAGGGGGTTGTTATACAATCACTGTCCAAAGCAACGTGACTTCCAGGTTCTCTGCTCGCAATGGAGCCAGGGCAGGAAGAGAGGAGGAAAGGTAGGGGTGTGTGTGTGTGTGTGTGTGTGTGTGTGTGTGTGTGTACGTACATACACAAGGCTATATAGTCACAGGAACATAGGAACTGCAACACTGGGTTGGACCGTGGGCCCATCTAGCTAGTGTAGAGCAGGAAATTATTTTCCCAACCCAGGAGAATTTTTGAGATTTTGAAAATTTCTCCCATCCTGAATCAGGACAAAGTCAAAATCGCAAACATTTTCACAAACTGATAATCAAAAAAAAAAAAAAGAAAAAAGAAAAGAAATCAGAGCGGACCAATCAAAATGCTTTGTTTTGATCATTTCTACGCATTTAATTTTGATTTTGACTTAAAAAAAAAGAATTCTTGTAAGTATAAATTAAGTAAAATTTTGAAACAAAAAGCGATTATGAACCAAAACCCGAAACAATTCACTTAGAAAATGGCCAAACATCCAATTTCAACTATTTTGAAACTTTTTTCCAATTTTTTCCCCAATCAGATTCGTCCAAACTACCCTTTTCTCGTGAACAGTTTTGATTTTGAGAAATCAGCTTTTTCAGATGTAAAAACGTTCCCGGTCAGGTCTATATCCAGCCTGTCCCCTACATTAACCAGCAGCAACTGGGTCAGAGAGAAAAATCCTGCAGGAGGCACTGTTGGGATAACCTGCTCCCTGGGAAATTTCCCTCCTGACCCCTATTAGAGATTGGGGCTCATGCCCTGAAGCATGAAGGTTTCTAGCCCTTCCAAAGCCCTTTCATAATTTTACTGGCTAGTCTCACTACACATTTCTTTGCTTTGCTTTTCTGAGTGTTGCTAAGTTGTTGGCCTCAATGCTGCCATGTCCAGGGGTTCACTGTGCCCTGGATGGAAAAACACTTTTTTTTGCCAGACGTCAATTTGCCACCTTCCAGCTTTGTGGAATGGCCCCTCTCATTCTTGCAGTCACATGAAAAGCCTTTTGATCAGGCTCGAAGCAGCCTGCACGGTCACTAGCCCAAAGCACTGAAGATGAGCTTGAAAATCAAAGCCCTCTTTCTAAAAAGCTGTCGGATCCTAAATGCAGCAGGGTTGGGGGGCTCTCCAGGGCAGACAAAGAGAGGGGACAGACGTGGTGCAGAGCACCATAATCCATTCCCTGCTTGACCCATGTACAACAGGGAAAGGTCCCACGAGGGATGGCTTCTCGTCGCATTTCCAAGCACGTGGGCAAGTGGGAAGCCCCATCCTCTAAAGCAGTCACTGAGGCCTCCAACGGGGCTCTGCTTTGCTCCTGGATACACCTGAGACAGGCCATGAGAAATCGCCCCACCAAACGGAGCCCTGCTCTCTCTGCACCGGGTTCAAAGCCCACCAAAGTCAATGGGAGTCCTATTGCTGTCCACTGGCTATGGAGGATGTCCAGATCAGGCTGACCCTCGGGGACACCTCAGAGAGCCCATCGAGAGACCCGAACGAGCCTGCAGACCCTTGGGGTGATGGGGGACAATGCTACTAGCTTGTGCAGCAGGGTGGCAGCCAGCTGGTGGTGGGCTACAGCAAATCCAGCCCAGTCTCCAAAACCAATCCCATCTCGTGGCCATGGGGAGAAATCAGAGGGTCTCGTTTCAGCTCCTCGGGGATGAGTTTTGAAGGCCAATGTCCTAACAGAGGTGCTTGTTTGCAACCTCAACAGGGAGGCTAAGGACAGGGGGTGAGAGGGGTGAGGCTGCATCATCAAAGCCATGGCCCCGTGTGACAACAGACAAAAGTGGGGGGACTCCGAGTTCTGAGACCCTCCTAGGCGCAAAGACCATGGGTGGCTGTGTCCTCCTTCGAACTGGGGTTGAGAACCCATCACCCCAGGAGATTCCAGGTAAGACAGCCCCTCTCCCCCTGCAGAGAGAGAGCTACGTATCACACATACACGCACACACAGCCACTCACTCATAGTGAACGCTCCGCGGGTGCCGGAGCTGCTTCCTTTAGAGAATCTCTTGGGAAGAACAATGAGAACGAGCGAAAGAAAACCAACAGGATCAAAAACAATCCTTCTGATTTGCCCTGGATTTCCAGAGATTTCAGCTGAAAACTGGGGGCGGGGCAGGGATTATGATCCACTGCATAGAATTCCTGATCGGCGCAGAGAAACAGACCCCCATGAAAAAGAAAAGGCAAGGCCAGCCCCACCCTTGGCAGCTGGGAGCTCAGATACCGCTGTCATGAACATAGGTGGAAGATGGCCTTGTGGCAAAGGGGCTAGGTTGGGGCTTTAATGGGGGCTCAATATCCAGCTCTGCCATTGGCTCTCCAGTCACTTTATCTCTCGGGCCCATGGCTCCCTGCTGATCAAGTTATAATTTCCCATCCCAAGGGGAAGGGGGAGGTTTAGGGGCAATCCAGGGGAGGGTCCCAGGTACCGACCCCCAGAGGCACTAAGTGCTCCATGCACAGGACTCCTTCCCGTACCTCATCTATCTGAAGAGACGTGTGCCGCACAGCTCCTGAGAGACCTCATCAACTCAGTTCTAAATACAGTGAGCTACAGGAGGGCATTTGCGGTGTGGAAGTGTGTACAAAATATACCGTACTGCGGGTCAGACTGTCTCTAAGTGTCTGGCCAGTTCCAAGTGTAGCACTTAACTGCAGTGCATACTGGAAAATAGAGACCAGATGTACAGTGTTGTCCAACTTTATTTTATATATGGTCTCTATTTTCTAATGTGTACTGCAGCTACGTGTTAAACTCAGGTATTGATAGAAAAAAACATATCCCTCTACTGCTAAGGTTATATGATAAGTACAGACACCTAATCTACACTGATTGGCTAGACAGACAGGCCTGGTAGGGGCGAGTACAGGTTCTG